GGCAAATAACGATATCCCTGTTCCACATTGGAGAACAAAAATAAATCAGAATCAAAACAGTTCACATGATTGTAAAAACTGTTAATGTTGGAGAACATAAAAAAAATTAATAAACAAAAAGAATCAGAATTAGTTTACATAATTGTTGCTGTCCTTTTTCTGAATACGGTTATGAGTTGTAGCTTTGAATTTTACTGCAGGGGAAGCTGTTGGCCTCCAAGTATATAGCAACTAGAATGAAGTCTCTCCGGATAGTGTTTTATTAATTGCTGTTGAAGGAAGAGGTTTGTCCAGATAGCGTATTATCTTCTTCTTTCTCAGAGAAAAAACATTTTATCCCCAAAAAATGTTGTGCCCATTATTCCAGATGAGGTATTAGTATTAGTCAATTACCTATACTAGTTGATAGGACAGTGGCTAACAACGAGATTGAACTTTTTTGTAGTCGAACACCGACCATGATTCATATGTAAAAGTGATTTAAATGTAAAATCCTCGTAGTCTTTTAGAAAGCATTGCTAGCAGAACTTGCATTTTTCTACCAAATTACAGTTTTCAATGTGTTCTCTTGAGTATATAAGTGGACACCGATTTACTCAAGATTATTGTGGTCGTGGTTGTAGCATGGGTGCTGCCTCCCCATAAGCAGTTTCTGGCCGGCTGCTGTTTCTGATTAGCAATGTTCTTCACAGAAATTTTATACACTATTGAATTTGCAATAAGAAAATTATTAAACATGGTAGGTAGGAATCAAAGCATCTGTTCAAAGTAAGGCGCATGAATCAATGATCACAAAATCATGAGCGGAAGATCTTATAATATAATCATTGGGATTTTTTTAGAATTGATTATGGCATGGCAGACCAACGTTTTATGTACAGCTTCATTTCCATACGCTGCCTCTCTTGCCCCTTCCCCACCATCAATCTAAAACACAATCATGAACCCCCAAAGAGAATGGTTCACAAGAATCAAAGAATTGCTTTCATCGGCCAAGTTATTACTTCTTGAACACCATGTCACCAGACTCATCTACATCGAAAAGCCGCTCCACAAAGTCATCCCAGCTTTCTGTCCTCTTTTTTAATGATTCACAAGGAGTCTCCCCGTTCAATCTTCCAGAGTTCTCCCCCTCTGCCGTTTCAGTAAATGTAAATGTTCCATACGGTGAATCAGAGTAGGCATGATGGATATCCAAAGCTATTGATCTCCGAAGTGCTGCCTCGTACTCCAGGCTATGTTCACGGACAAGGGACTTTCTTCGCTCCATCCTCTGCTTTGCCGGAACTTCCATAGTTCTGTCTTCCTCGAGCATTAACTGACCTCATGGGAAAAATAATACACCATTACTAGAAGTTAGAACAAGGACAGAATCTCAGATCTTGAAGCTTAAGCTAGGTGGGATTATCATTTAGAAACCTTGCAGAAATTCAAACTGTAATGGAGGGTCTAAGGACTTACATAAAAAGCCTTTTGTGCTTCTCTCTCTATCCAGATTATGGCATGGTCAGAAGTAATATTGCAAGAAAGAACTATGTGCTCAAACCTCCCATCCACAGGCACTGCTGTTTTCACAACAGGCGGAAACCTTCCAAATCTGCAACCAGTAAGCTCCCAATGATTGACTGTAATTGAATCTATTTCTCACCCAAAAGTTATCAACTTATTATATGATGCAGGTGCCATTTAAAATTTAACAACACAATCAACACACAGAAGTTGTAATGCAACTACATTTTAATATACCTGAAGGGCTTCCGCTCAATTATGTGATAGAGACGTCCGGGTGCATATAATCTCCTTGGATCTGTAAGCATATTCTCTTGCAGCGTGCACGTTTCCTTCAAGCACATTATGCAAAGTAAACATGGCAAACTGTGCAAATGAAGGAAAGCAACCTCACTTAGCATCTCTAGAAGATAATACAGGTACAATCTGAATTGTATCAGTATATATTGCATTGGGCTACTAAATGCAAGAAAGGTGACAAAAAACGTACTGTGTTTTACCAGAAAAGTGATTTGAATAAGTTGTCTAAAGCGGTTGTTGTCCGAGGTAAGAAATCATCCTGGTTCATTATAGCAACTACATTAGAACATTGAGGACCTATAATCATATCCATGCGCAAAAAGCATATATTATTTCCTGCCTGGTGAAGAACATTGACTCATTTTATGTGGCCAGCCTTATTTACTAATTGGTGGCAATTTTGCCTATCCGACGTATTAGATGTACAGTCCATGAAGGTTTTCTTTTCTTAACCGTTCATGTTTCACTACATTATATCGATAAATTAAACCGTGTGAGCATTCGCCAATATATGTGGAACAAAGCGCACAAGTTTAGAATCAAATGCGATAATCATACCTGAAGTACAATAGAATTGATAACATCTGCATATCTGACAGCCAGATTCAGTGACATACATCTAGAGGGGGCTGTAGCATAGCATCTAATCTTCTTCCTCTCAATATTTCCCAATTTTTTTAGATCCTGAAGTACCAACAATGTCAGCAATGCCACCACACCAGCCCCAAGGGAATGTCCAGTAAATGTCAGGGTATAATTTGGATACTTAATTACCAATTCCCTCAAAACTTCACACTCTGCATCAAACATCCACTCTGCTGCTTTCAATAGCCCATTGTGGACATAGCCACCATCAAATTTTGTCTGCCCAAGTTTGTTGTCAAGCATAACTGCATAATCACTTTCCTTGGCTAAATTGAGTCCCCTAACTACCAAGACTATATCAGAATGATCATGATCAAGATAGACCATGTAGGGAGGAACATGGCCAAAGGTTTCTTCGTAGTCTTTACGTAAGATTACCCAATCAGGATTAATGCCATAACCTCCGAGGGGTGCCCAAAGCGGGTTACGGAGATCTTCCTCATAGAGTGCTAGAATTAGGCGACAAAAACGAGGGACAGGCTCAAATTCTTCAGCAGTGGCCAGACCCCAGTTTTCACTTTCACGGCCTGCAGTATAGAGGCATTTCAGCCACACCCAACGAGCACAGGCCAGACAGTATACAGACTCAAGGATAGGAAGCCCACAGCAGATTGACATGGACGCCTACGAAGCAAATCATGTAAACACATATCAAAAACTCGATGTGAAACCAAGGAAAAACAAAGCAAACAATTACTTTGGGCCCTCCGCCCAGCTCAATAGATACACATTTGGGAATGGATTAAACTGAATTATAAATGGAAAATAGGCGTTGAACACCTATATTTGGGTGAAATTCTAGAATCTAGTTGAATTGCAGAGCAGAATAACAGAAATAGCTTTAGATATCAACTAAACAAACAAAACTAGGAACTAAGATAGAGATCTATAGTTCAAGGTTTTCAAACAGATTATCTCCATCTATCAAAGAAACATTCTTCATTAGAATACCAACAGCTAAACAGGCACTCTATGGAAGAATCAAGTATCAGAGATATTACATGTATCAAAGCTCAAAGTGCCATGAGCTTGCATCTAAACAGAAACATTTGCAGAATCTGTAACTTTGCACAGAACAGAGTTGCAGCTAAAGAACAGCAGTCTCAGACCAATATGGATCAAATCCCATGAGTCAAAAGTTGTAACTGAACAAAACCCAGGTTCTGAAAATTTGGAACAGGGAATGGTTGAGAATGAACAACCACCATAAAGATCATTAATTAGCTAAAACCCAGGTTCTGAAAATATGTTTATGGAAAGAAAATGGGGTTTCCTATAAACAAAAGGGGTTTAGTGGGGGCTTGGGAGAGGTAAAGTTTGAGTCTTCTGTTCTGTGCTAACTTTGGATTGTTGTTCCATGAGAAAGTATATGACACATATACATGTATCTATCTGTATAAATTTAAAAGACAGACCCAATGAGAAGAAAGAGATCTGCTCACTAAATTTGGGCTGAGGTCTTACCTGCAAGTCAAACTCATATCTTTTTGGGTTGCTTCAAGAATCTACTCGCTAAAATGCTTTTATTCCACAAGGTTTGTACGATCTTTAATCATTGTTTCTTCATTTGGTTTTATATTCTTAATTTTATTCTAAAAGATGATTGGGCATTGGCTGATTAGGGTTTGAGCCTTGAAATTCAATGCCAGTTAAGTGGTGAGAATCCATTTATACATTGCTGGCCCAACATTTTCAGAACATGGGTTTTGTTCTTATTTGGACACTTCTTTTCTGAACTTGAGAGCAGTGAGTCAAAACATAACTTAAAAATTGCAATAATTTGCAACCATTTAAATAAAAAATTGTGAGTTTTTTTATATTTATTTTGGGCCTCAAAGCAAGTAAGGGTTTTGACCAAAAACAAAGAAAAATATCTTGTTATTAATAGATATTTTGGTTTGAATATTCGAACTTTGTCGCAGAGTGAGGAGTACATTCATTCTAGCTAACTTGGTTAAATCCATATCTACGTTATTGATAGATTTATGATAATGATAAAATGTATACAAAAACTTGTTGCATTTGAATGGAGAAAATAAATTTTGATTTTGGACAAAATGTTATTGTTGATAAGAGCGATTCAATTAAGAAGAAATATTATTAGATTAAGAACTAGTTGGTAAGGTGAATTTAAATCAATAAAATGATTGCTTTTAAAAAAAATTCTATTTTTTAAACTACAAGGTATAAAACATGATTATTGCCACTTCAAAAAAACTTGTTGTGTGAATGTTTTAAATATTTTTTTGGAGTCAATAATAGTTTCCTAGTAATTTATTTATACTTTTCTCACACTCATGACTTTCTTATTATAAATAAAATAATTTTTTATTATGCAAATAGAAGAAAAATTAATTTATATGATGAACATATTACTGAAATTTTTTACCAAAAAAAAACATTACTGAAATTGAGACGCCTCGAAAATAGAAAAACTTTCTCTCCCGCGTAATTAAACACGTTTCTTTTTCTGCCCAACAGTTCATTGGCCAAGGCACGTCAAGTCCAAACTTTTACCATACACCGCGACGCACCAGATCCAAAAACCATCAATTCAACCATATAGTATGGGCCTCTTTCTCTCTCATTTTCAGTTGAAACGATTGCAAGCACTTTAGCTTCACCAATCACCACCATGGATTCCGAATCAGGTCTGTCGCGAAAGACCAAAATTCAAACCCTAATTTCAATTCTATGTTTAGTCTCTGAGCTTGCTTCTCTGTTTTCGTTTGTCTGTTTCATTTGCATTTTGCAGTGATTGAGTTCCTGGGCTGCGTTCCTCTGCTTCAGAGGCTTCCCAGCTCCTCTCTCAAGAAAGTCGCCCGGGTCGTCATTTTGAAGCACTACGGTCAATTCTATTATCTAATTGCTTCTTCTGCTGAATTTAAGCTTGGTTTCTATCGATAAATGTTTATGTGCACATATACATATGTAATATTGGGTAATTGTGAATTCACTTGTTTGTATAGTTTTTGTAATGGTATTGAATATTTTGAGCGTGTTTCTTTGGGCAGATAGTGGAGAGTATGTTGTTCGTGAAGGTGAAACCGGAGATGGGGTTTACTTCATATGGGATGGAGAGGTTAGTTTGATTGTGTCATTACTTATTAGTTACTTATATTGGATCTTAGAGTAGTTACTTATATTGGATCTTAGAGTGAGCTTATATTGTGGTTTTCTTACACAGGCTGAAGTTACTGGTTCTGTTAATGCTGATGAAGGAAATCGACCTGAGTTCAAATTGAAACGATACGATTATTTTGGTTATGGTGAGAACTGAGAACCTTTTTCTTTGAATTTAAGAAATTGGGTTACTTTCTGATTATGGTTTTGGTGATGCTTACATGAGAATGCGTCAACAATTTTTATCTATATAAGATTTGAGTTTCTTGGATCAGTCCCTGGCCTGCAGGGATTTCTTGATTTGAGATTGTCAGAGGGTATATGGAGTTGTTATCTTGGTGCATTTCTTAAGTTTAGGTGTCATGTTGTCATGAAACCAGACACATGTAGTTGTCCCCATTTTCTTGAGATGAAGTCTTAGTTTGGTTGAGGATATAGATTATGTATCTTGTACTTAGGACGTTTGGCCAATGATTTGCAATAATCTAGCTGGGATTGTAATTGTCACCATCAATTATCAAGGAAGTATAATGCGAAGGTAATTTTGCAGGTTTTGCAGCATTGGAACATCAGGCTGATGTGATTGCTTTATCTAAGGTAGTTGAAACGTATATATATTAGTTTAGCTTTTTTATTTCTTTTATTTATTTTGATTAAGCTTTGGGTGCTTGGAGATGGAAATCTACCAGGCTGGGATTGAATAGTAGATTGGGCGGCACTTGTAGGGACTATTGCCTTGTTTTTTTGTGGCAATTACATCTTTCTGGTTGCTCAAGCTCACAAGGTTTTCCTTTAAATGTTGTTTTATGTATGCTAATAGTGGCTTTCTGATGTGTTGTTACTTATGGCAGTTGACATGCTTGGTGCTGCCCCATGAACACTGTACTCTTCTGCAGCCAAAATCAATCTGGAATGCTGATAAAGCTCATGATACATGCTCTCTTGTTGAGAATATATTGCATTTGGAACCAATTGAAGTATGTATCTTCGAAGTTTTTAAGAGAATACTCTTATTATATTTTATATTTTCAGTTCAGTGCTATACTGCTGTCTAGGAGATTTGATATATTGATTGTTTAGTTATGATGTGATGCTTATAGTGCCAATTGTACAGTGCTATCTGACTTTAGCGATTGTAGATTTTTCTGCATGTCTAAGTCCACTATTATTTCTCTTCTGGATATGCCATATGTAAATTGATTCGGAACTTTGATTCTTTCTGCTTAGAAATATAGACTACTTAATAATCGTTTCATGGTGCCTGTTGACAGTGGCATTCTAATGTGATTTTCTTTTATATTTTGATTGATAAGATTCTGTACTCCTTTTGTTTTCAAAGGTAAACATATTTAAGGGGATTACTTTGCCAGATGCACCAAGATTCGGACAGGTTTTTGGAGGACAGTTAGTTGGACAGGCATGATTAAGTAACTTTTTCTCTTCCTCCTTAATATTTTTCTACTGGATGTTTCTCAATGAATGTATAGTAGATATAAATGATATTGAAATAGTGTGATGAACTGTAGAACTTAAACTTGCATGCATGATCCTCCTAGTTCTGCCCCCCCCCCAAAAAAAAAAAGGGAAAGCACAAAAGAGTACATCCTTTCTAAGTGGACAAAGTTTAACTCCGCACTTGTTTGAAATTGATTGCTTATATTCACTTAACAATCTTCTACAGTGATTTATGTTTGTTCAAATATTAATTTTCAGTTGTACAATAATTTTTTATTGAGATTTCAACTTTATTTTTTATAAAATAATTCAAATGTGCTTATGAAAATATTGATATGTTTACACACCCAGTTTCTACTTAATTCAACTTGATTTTTTAAATAATGCAAAATTTGTTATAAACACTGTAAATGCAATGTTCTTTTTTCTTAAGTGAATGGCCATATTTGCTTTTTCTCTAATTTCCTTCCGCTTCATAATAATATCTGCAACTCGAAATGATTGTTCTTTTATCTATATAGTTTTGAGTTCATTCAGGCACAGAAGTTGTATCATGGCTGGGAATTTATTTAGAAGCAGTTCCATAGCATACTTGTTTCTAATATATCCTATAAAATGCAGGCATTGGCTGCAGCAACGAAAACTGTTGATTGTCTTAAACTTGTCCATAGTTTGCATGCGCATTTTCTGCTTGTTGGAGATTTTAACAGTAAGTATATGAGCCTAATATATGAAGATGAGAATCTTAAATGTGGAGGCGATATAAATATGTTTAGAAAGCTTATGTCTGTAATATTGCTTTTGCAGCACCAATTATATATCAAGTTCACAGAGTACGTGATGGGAAGAGCTTTGCTACTCGAAGAGTGGACGCAATACAAAAAGGGATTAACATTTTCACGATACTGGCTTCATTTAAAGTATGTGTTTATTTAGTCAGTTTACAAATGATCAGAATTTTGTTTTTGGTCGAACAAATGATCAGATAAAAATCTTTTGAATATTACTTTCTTTGCTTGTCATTATGTTTTGCATATCAAAGTGGCTAGGAGGTCAGGTCTTGATCAAGATTTGTTTATCAGATTGCAAAAGGTCTTAAGAACCATGCCTTAATAATGGTATCCAGAGAGTCAATATGCCTGCTGAATGATGTTGTATAATAAATCTTGTGTCCTAATAAATATTGTAAATTTTCTTATCTTGAATGTATGCTAAAGTGGTAGCTACGGTTGAACTGCTGCATTGTTGCACGTTGGTTTTAAGATTGGTTAGATTTATTTTGCAGAAAGAAGAAGAAGGGTCTGTCCATCAGGAAGCAAAAATGCCATCTGTGCCTGATCCAGATAGGGTAACATTTTCTTGCTTATTTATTAACAATTTTCCAGCTGATGTTGGCTGTAAATGTTGAACTCTTGATCCATAACAGCTTCTGTCAATGGAAGAATTACGTGAAAAACGTCTGCTTGATCCGCGTCTTCCAAGGTAAGATATATAGTTGCATTATAGTTCTCTGCTATATGCAATCAAGCCTGTTCTAATTTCGCCTTGTAATTTACTAATTTGTTTTTTTTCTTCTTTTTCCTTTCTGGGTATTGGGGAGTTCAGTTGGGATTTCTATATAAACTTTGTTTTTAGAGTATAGTTGAAACAGTCACATAGCTATGCATTTTACACTTTTAGCCTTCTGGAACAGAATATCCTGTCGGATACTGTAAAGGCTCTTCCCCATTTGTATGAAAAATTAGGGATGGTTCATGCATCTGGACCTTTCATGGAACAGAACTTTTGTTGGGCGGAAACCACGGACAATAAATGTCTTTCTCTGGACTGGCGCCTTCCATTTTGTATGAAATTGAATTTGCTCAAGTGGATGTGACATTTTCCTTCCTGAAAATTTAGTATCATTTGGATTTATTTTTGTTCCAAAGATATTGGCTTTGAACAGAACAGCCAGAGCATTCTGTTTAATGTTTTTGTAAATAAAAAAATTCAGAAAAGTTGCTAGCTGTTTAACTTTTTGTATTAGGCTTCCTCCATTAGCACAAAATTTAGTGAACCATCTTAAGTTTTATGAAAGTGTAATTCAAGGGTTTTTGCTTTTGTTGGAGAGTTTCTATAACTTCTGTGGAAAAGTTCCGTTGCCAAAAAGCTATGTTGGTTGATAGCTGAAGGAAGAAATTGTTTGGTAAACATTTTATAAAAGCTGCTGTATGTAGTAGAAACTTTGTGCATAGTATTTCAAGAAATTTAATAGTAAGTGTTGTGAAACTTTGTGCATAGTTTTACTAAATGATCAGAATGATCATCTATTTTTCACATCATCATGATTTTCGTTATATGTGAAGCTTTTGTTTTGTTGGATAATTGATATCTCAAATTTATATGATACTAATGATTACTTGATTCAGGATTTACCGAATCAAGGCAGCTGCAAAGAAATTTGTCCCTTGGCCTATAGAGATACGATTTTGTGAGCCTAGCAGCTCAACCAATCAGACTAAATCCCCACCAAGGTTTGCTTGCTTTACTGTATTTCGTAATCTAAATTTTATTGTGCCCTCAGTATGCTTCACACTATGTGAAGATGAATATTTCTTTTTTGTTTCGTTGATTTACCAGTTTTGATACTAAACTCTTTATCTAAGTAGAATTTAGTGACGTTGCAGTTTGAGGTTCTGGTTTAGAGCAAAAGGAAAACTTTCAGATGATCAGGCTTTGCATAGGTATGCACCCATTTTATCAGTAAGCTAAGCTGATAGTTCTCTTTTTTTTTTTTAAGGTCAATTATCGGGTTATTTATGTTTGTGAGTATCTAGCACATTTAGTAAATACATTCGCAATGTAGCTCATTTTGGGCCTCCCTTTTGCCCCTTTTCATACATCCAAATGTAAGTAAAATTTCATGGAGCATTCAACATGGATTACTGATTATTGTTTTCCGATGTGGTGATTGTTTTGTATATGATTGCTTTCTGTAGATATTCTATTGTTCATATTTCGATATCTGTATGTAGATATATGATTGATTGTTGTTGTATGATTATTTTGCAGATGTGTTGTAGCATATGCTTCAGATTTGATATTTTCTGGTGTAAGTTTGAATCCCCATCGTAGAAGAGGAGTTAAGTCATCCCAAGTTAGTTTGGACCACGCGTAAGTCCTTTTCATATATGCAAGAGTTTGCAAGAGCCATAAATTGCATGGTGTCCCTTTTTTCTTCCATGCTGGTAGTGATTGAAAAATTCTTATTATATATGTGTGTGTATGTATATATATTCAATTTCTCTCAGGATGTGGTTTCACCGCCCAGTTAGAGCTGATGACTGGTTACTCTATGTGGTAAGTCTCAAAATCGATATTCTTTCTCACATCGTTTAGTTTTGTTAAAATGCTGATGCATGCATGCCTTCTTTTAACAGATAGTAAGTCCCATTGCCTATAATGCACGCGGATTTGTTTCAGGCCAAATGTTTAATAGAAATGGAGAGGTAAAAACTTTGCTGTTAGGTTTGTATTCATCCAAAGCATTGCTTGAGTGTGTGATGCACTAAAGTTATTGCATGTTTTGATGGCAGCTCATTGTTTCATTGACTCAAGAGTCCCTGAATAGGCCAATTAGACCAATTTCTGCTCCGACATCTAAGTTGTGAGCTGGTGTTGCAGTATCCCATGGCACCTAAAAGCACGGCCGGCGATCATGTCCTGGTGAACCAGTTTTAGTTCAGGTTCCGGGTTTCTGCCCCGGGTTTTACAGCTAAATAGAATAATGGAATCATAGTATTTGTTATCAAAATGCTTGCAAGAAGTGTGTACTTTCAATTCTGTTAAGATGTAGCCGTTGCCCAGATTGCTGACATTGTCAGCCTCCGAACTGTAGTCCTTGGCCTAAGCATCATAAATGAACTAAAGAATGTTTTTACAGTTTTATGGAGTGAAATTAAATGTGTAATCGAATGTTTAAACGTTTAAGTGAAGCAACCTCTTCAATTTTTTAAATTTTTTATGATTACTCTTGTTTTGGATAGGTGGCTTGTGGTGGATGAATCTACTTCATTACATATCTGTATCAAACTAAAAGCTGAGGGATGAGGAGAGAAAAAGCTTAGCAGAGGATCCGGATCCTTGTCGGAAATCAGATAATGTACATGCTTTGATGATGGCTTTGCCTCATCTTCAAAATATATGACCACTTTGTTTACGACATTAAGATTTCTTAAAAGACAATATAAATTAAAAATTTCTATACACAATCAATTTATTGACAAAATTAAGATTTCTTAAAAACAAATCTCCTCATTCACAATATTTTTTTTTTTAGTTATGAAAAAAAAAAGGGTTCTTCATTAAACGTGGATTATCTATCTTACTTTTATTTGATACCAAATGTATGCTAGCTCTGTTTAAATATTTTTCTAATGTAAAGCTTTAAATTCTAAACTTTAACCCAATTTCTACAAGATTATTATTATTATTATTATTTAAATGATTAGCTGAGTATGGCATTATTATTATTTAAATGATTAGCTGAGTATGGCAGATAAAATATGAATGAGAAATTTGCATAAATACCACTTGAACTTTTAGGTAAGTACATCATTACCACCTGAACTTTTAATTTTTATTTTCAACCACCTGAATTTTGTTAAGTGTTGCAATTCACCATCAGATATTATCAGGATAATATCGCCGATAATATCGATATTTAATACCTTGCAGAAAACGACGACGAGTCTGCATTTTTGCACTATTTCTTTCCTTTTACTTTTAGTTTAAACTTACCAAGAATTAGGTAAGCTTCGACCAAAAAAAAAAAAAAGGTAAGCTTTCTATTACTTAAGAAAAACAGAGCTTAATCAGAAAGGTTTTGTAATTAATTATTATATAACTTGACGTGTTCTTCAGCTCTTGAGCCATTCTCAGGTTCCTTTTGAATCGATTGGAGGTAAAGAAGAATGTGGCTCCAGTAACCAATCAATCAAATTCCCATTTCTGAGACTCACAGGTCAGTTTCCGCCAAATCGTTTCTTTTTTTGTCTTCTTATCAAATATGTTTTCTTTCTCTTGCGAACGGTTATTTATCTCGGTCAAATTAGGGTTTCAATTCAACTCGTTAGGCTTGGTATTTGCTTTTGAATTTTATTGGTTGCTGTGAAAAAAAAAAAAAATCTGCAAATAAAATCGAATTGAAATTGTTTCCTGAGAATTGGTATGAATTTGCTTTTGAATTTTATTGGGTTTGAAGAAACTTCTGGGTTCTATATATTTCCGGGGATCAAAGAAAAAAAGAGAAATGAAAGAGAGAATGTTTCCCGAACTGTGTGACTTTTTTTTTCTGTGTGACTTGGAATTGGATTTTTGGTCTTGTTGCTGTTGCCTATTTTGTCGAATTGTGGCTTTTTAGTCGTGTACTGAGTGTTTAAGTTAATGTGGATTTGAAGAGTTCTGCTGCTACAAATGAGGAAAAGAGAAACTTTAACTTCAATTTCAATTTCTTTAAGGGCTTTATTTATTCAGAACTTACATTGAGGTGAAAATATGGTAATTACATGCAATGCTATATGCTAAGCTACTAGATTGGAGAAACATATAAGTTCTTCCATTCCATAAAATTATAAAAGAATAAATGCAAGGTTAGAGAAAGAATGCCTCATCAAGAGGGGGGGAAACGTTTGTGGCAGTGCTTTGATTTGCAGATGGTAAGGGTAAATTTCAAATAGATTCTCCAAAATTAATCAGCTGTAAACCTATTGAAATTGCAAGCTTTATTGGAGGAAAGGGAAAGTTTGGTGTCCCATTTTAATTTCAAATAGTTCTAGTCTGGGCGTCATAGCTGAAGGTGTAAGTTGGCTTGCATATTACTAAGATTGGCTTATATCAGTCTTACTTATCTAAAGTCCTTATGGTTCCATTTTAATTTTTCAGGCGACATTAGAATGTACCAGCCAGGTGTTGTATTAGAGGGGATCAATCAAATGGAACTGAGCCAACAATCGCTTATATCTGGCTTTCCAGATGACATTGCTCTCTTTTGCCTGGCTAGGGTTCCCCGGAAGTATCATACACTCCTAAAGTGTGTTTCAAAAAGATGGAGAGACGTAGTGTGCAGTGAAGAGTGGCATTCTTACCGTCAAAAGCATAAACTTGATGAGACTTGGATCTATGCTTTGTGTCGAGACAAGTTGGACCAACTTTGCTGGTATGTGTTGGATCCCAACTCATCAAGAAGGTCATGGAAGCTTGTTCATGGACTTCCGCCTCGCGTCTTGAAGAGAAAAGGCATGGGTTTCGAAGTGCTGGGAAAGAAAGTTTACCTGTTGGGTGGTTGTGGTTGGTGTGAAGATGCTACTGGCGAGGTCTACTGTTATGATGCTTCCCTGAACGCTTGGAGTGAAGCTTCTCCATTATCCACTGCTAGGTAATACTTCTCACTTGTACTTTCTGCAGAGTTTTTCATGGGTTAAAGCTGGAATAATATCTCCCAGGTTCAAATATATCACATTATCTGCTGAGAGAACACTATATTTCATGCAATGCTAAAGATTGGCGATTTCGTCTTTTGACCTGTCAGAGCATAAATGCTGTCGTGATGAATAGTAAAAATTCATGCAAATTAGTTTGCTTTTTGTCATTATTATAATTGTAAAGAGCCTTTGCTTTATTTGATTTGTGCATGCAGGTGCTATTTCGCTTGTGAAGTGTTGGATGGAAAAATATATTCCATTGGTGGTTTAGGTTCAAATTCAAGTGATCCACATTCTTGGGACATCTATGACCCTTGCACCAATAGTTGGAAATTTCACTCTGACCCAAACATTGTCCCTGAAATTGAGGATTCTGTGGTCATGGATGGGAAGATCTACATTCGCTGTGGGACTTCTGCTGTAACTTCTCATGTGTACGCTGTTGTTTATGAACCATCAAGTGGCACATGGCAGCATGCAGATGCCGACATGGTTGCCTGCTGGCGGGGTCCAGCAGTTGTCATAGATGGGACCCTCTATGTGTTGGATCAGAGTTCAGGAACCAGGCTGATGATGTGGCAGAAGGAGTCTAGGGAGTGGATTCCTGTTGGGAGGCTGTCATCCTTGCTCACCAGGCCGCCCTGTCAACTTGTAGCTATTGGGAAGAAATTTTACGTTGTAGGAAAGGGGCTTAGCACAATCATGTTTGATGTTGAGAATGTATCTTCAGTGTACATGCTTGGATGTATTTGGACGTCTCATGAACATGAAATTATTCATAAGATTTGTTGGTTTACCATTCTTGATTAAAAAGTATAAGCTATGAAGCTATTTATAACACTTGTACCGCTAGACATCCCCAAGGGTTTGAACTCGACGTGGTTGACTGTGATGTTGTGGTAAGATTTGCATATTTACCATACATACCTTGTGAGACTTAGAGTAGATGTATAGCCCGTCTAGCTCAGTTGGTAGAGCGCAAGGCTCTTAACCTTGTGGTCGTGGGTTCGAGCCCCACGGTGGGCGCTTACAAATGTTCTACTTTGTGTTTTTGTATTCAACCAGAAAGAGAAACTCTTTTTAAAAAAAAGAACCATAAAAACTTAAAAAATTTACTGGACTTTCAAAGTAAGTATTTTCGTTCTTACACAAACGAAAGATAATGTTAGTAAAGTGCCTTTATCAGATTGACAACCCTTTCATTTTTGTGATTGAATCACTTGTGGAAATAAATGGATGAGAAGACTTGTGGAAATAAATGGATGAGAAGACTTGTGGAAATAAATGGATGAGAAGACTTGTGGAAATTTGGTATTGGAAGACTGAATGCGTGGCTCACAACCTATAAAATTGTTTTTTTTATTTATCAAAAACACTTTTTCAAAAGTGAAACATTGAATTTGGGATGAATGTGCAACTGTCAAAAGATGAAGCTCTTGTCTGTACCCAAAAAAGTGTTGGTTTACCATTCTTGATTAAAAAGTATAAGCTATGAAGCTATTTATAACACTTGCAGCGCTAGACATCCCCAAGGGTTTGCACTCGACGTGAATGGCTGTGAGAGGTAAAGTTTGAGTCTTCTGTCATGTGCTAACTTTGGATTGTTGTTCTCTAAATTTATCCCCGAGTTTTAAATATTTGTTAATTATATTTTTACTTAATTGTTTTGAAAAATCAAATTGGGAGTGATTGTGATTGTATATATAGAGACATATAAATTGGGAGGTCGTGCATGCATGACTTTGAATAGTACTAGTCGTTGGTGGTGGTGACCACTGACCCGTCAAAGACTTACAGCTGACTTGCAAATTGCATATGCTTGCAGCTGCAGATGTTATATTCATTGGTGGTCACTGTCATGTGGATTATTCAAAGGGAATCAACAATCAGGTTGATGTGACTTTGTTTAATATATACATACAATTCTACATAGGGTAATGCTAGGCTTACCACATTTTTCATACCACATTTGTACCATATCTCTAGTAGAGGTGCCCACCGTTTTCATGCCTCCTATTTTTCCCCTAAAAAGTAATTGTGCCAAAACCACCGTTTTTCAGAAGTAAATTACCATTCGAGTGTGAACTCTGAATTTGAGATGAAAATTACTTTAAGAGATGATGATGTTGCCTCTTTTATGTTAAAGAGTTATCATAATTACTAGTGCATTAATGTCAATATGAAGAGACTAGCTAGGTGGCTCCACCAATTGACAATTTGTTCTATTCCCATATTATACGCATGCACATGCAAACACAAAAACGTCATATTGATAGATCACGTTCGGTGTTTAGGATTGCTTTGGATGAGATAACTCAGTAGAATCAACACATCTTGAATTAAGAAATGAAGTAGAGATGAAGATTTTTATAATTTGTGGGGATTGAAACGGGTAAGTTATAAGATATTATTAGATTCCTACAAAATTTCTTCAAGAAAACACAGAATGTAAAGTGTAATGGAATTATAGAATAATTGAGAATGTAAAAGCTATCTTGTACAGTAAGCAGAAAACGAAAATTCTTTGAATTAAGCCGATTGCTATGACGATAAGCATACATTACATCAACAAGAAAGAACGCGTGTTAAAAGAGTCTAGTCCGGGCGACGATATTGACTATGGGTAAAAGTGGGAAGTGTTGAGACTGGAAAAATCTTATGCAATTTTAATGGGACCCTATGTAGTAAATGGTGCATCAAGTCATGTGGCATCAAATGATGGTTGAAGTTGAAGACAATTTACTTTCCACCTAATTAACCGTATTGAAATTGCTTGAGGCCCTACCCTAAAAAATAATTTCCCAAAACCACATTTGAAGTGATCTTTTTGACTGAAAAATCTGTGAATTTTGGGTGTCCCTTTGTTAAAGAGAGATGGGAAAATCAGCTTCCATCATAAAAGCTTTAATGTTATTTGGATAGGTGCTTATTGCATAAATATGGGCCTTGAGTTTGGTTGGCTTAAGATAGGGATATTTCTCAGCTTGTGATTGAGTCCGACTTTGTCTATTTGTTCTCCTTATGCCAAGGTGATTCTATGGACACCCAAGAACTGTTTCTCTATCTCTCTCTCCTCTCTCCCTCCCTCGATTTGGGATTACCGACTCTCAACAAGGCCTAGGAAGAGATTTTATGAAATCCGGATCTTTTTAAAAGAGTATTGCAATTAAATATGCAAATTCGAAAATTAATTGGCCACAAATACTGCATATGAAAATCTTATATGTGCCTGTCAACTATAGAACCTAGTAAAAAAAAGGTGTGTGTGAGGAAAAGAGAGTGAGCGGCGGCTGCCAGCTAGCTATTCTTGGTTTCTTATTGTTGGTTCTAAATGTTGTTGCCTTTCGTTTTGTTTACGATTTTCGTTCTAATCTTTTATACGGTGTAAGTCTTCAACCCACAAAGAGCCATGTCCGTGCTTAAAACTCCGAAGGACATACTGCAGGGAGATAGTTACACAAAAATGAAGCTAAAGAGTGTCCAAATAAGAACATCGGATTTTCCTTGTTTCCACAAGTGCTATGAATAGGAATTTCGTTGAATTTAGGGAAATTAATGGATGACAAGACTTGTGGAAATAAATGGATGAGAGAAGACTTATGAAAATAAATAAATGAGAAGACTTGTGGAAATAAATGGACGAGAGAAGATTTGGGGAAATAAATGGATGAGAAGACTTGTGGAAATTTGGTATTGGAAGACTGAATGCGTGGCTCATAAGAAAAGTACAAAAGATGAAGCACTGAATTTGGTATGAAAGTGCAACTGTCAAAAGATGAAGCATTGTATAATATCTTCAGTGTACATGCTTGGATGTATTTGGATGTCTCATAAACATGAAATTATTTATAAGATTTGTTGGTTTACCATTCTTGATTAAAAAGTATAAGCTATGAAGCTATTTATAACACTTGCACCGCTAGACATCCCCAAGGGTTTGAACTCGACGCGAATGGCTGTGAGAGGTAAAGTTTGAGTCTTCTGTTCTGTGCTAACTTTGGATTGTTGTTCCATGAGAAAGCATATGACACATACACATGTATCTATCTGTATAAATTTAAAAGACAGACCCAAAGAGAAGAAAGAGGTTTGCCCACTAAATTTGTGCTGAGGTCAAACTCATATCTTTTTGGGTTGCTTTAAGAATCTTTAATCATTGTTTCTTCATTTGGTTTTATATTCTTAATTTTATTCTAAAAGATGATTGGGTATTGGGCGATTAGGCTTTGAGCCTTGAAATTCAATGCCAGTTAAGTGGTTGGGTGAGAGTCCATTTATACATTGAGAAAGGGCTTTGAGCCTTGAAATTCAATGTCATAAAAATTGCAATAATTTGCAACCATTTAAATAAAAAAAATTGTGAGTTTTTTTATATTTATTTTGGGCCTCAAAGCAAGAAAGGGTTTTGACCAAAAACAAAGAAAAATCTCTTGTTATAGATTTTGTTTTGAATACAATTCGAACTTGGGTGTATAGAGTGAGGAGTGAGGAGTACATTCACTCTAGCTAACTTGGTTAAACCCATATTTGTGTTATTGATAGATTTATAATAGTTGTAAAATGTAAACAAAAACTCGTTGCATTCGAATGGAGAAAATAAATTTGATTTTGGACAAAATGTTATTGTTGAGAAGAGGGATTCAATTAAGAAGAAATATTATTAGATTAAGAACTAGTTGTTAAGGTGAATTTAAACCAATATAATGATTGCTTTTAAAAAAATTCTCTTTTTAAAACTAGAAGGAATAAAATATGATTATTGTCATTTCAAAAAAACTTGTCGTGTGTATGTTTTAAATTATTTTTTTGGAGTCAATAATAGTTTCCTAGTAATTTATTTATACTTTTCTCACACTCATTACTTGCTTATTATAAATGAAATAAATTTTTACTATGCAAATATAAGAAAAAGTAATTTATATGATGAACATATTACTGAAATTTTTTACCCAAAAAAAAAACATTACTGAAATTGAGATTGTGTAAATTATAGAAACTCATCATCACTGATACTTATGTCAGCCTGAAAAATAGCAAAACGGAATACGGATCAGTCTAGTTTTCTGGAAGCGGACCAATCTTTCTCTCCCGCGTAATTAAACACGTTTCTTTTTCTGCCCAACAGTTCATTGGCCAAGGCACGTCAAGTCCAAACTTTTACCATGCACCGCGACGCACCAGAGTACTTTTGTATTTAGAACGTACCCCTTTCCATGTTAGAGATGCTTCCTCCTCATAATCCAAAGTATAACTTACTTCTAGCTGAACCGTATATGAATGTTGGATAATTCGACTTGAATTTCCTTTCTGAGCCAAAACAATCAAATTGTTGAGACATTTGGGTATAGTTCCAGAGATGTTGTTCATCGACAAATCCAAAATTTGAATGCGTGTCAGATGGCATAATTGGGGTGGGATGCTTCTATAGAACTGATTACCTCGAAGGATTAAGATACCCAAATTTGGAAGGCTAGCCCCTAACCATTCAGGTATTGAGCATGATAAGTTATTTTCCCCAAGATCAAAAAGTGTCAACTTTGTACAATTCTTCAATTGTGAAGGCAACTCTCCCACAAATCTGTTGTTACTTAGTCTTAGTGTCTTGATACTAAACAAGTGCCCTATCGTGGTGGGAATTTTTCCAAATAAATAGTTATTGCCCAAATCAAGGAAGACTAATTTTTTAAAATGGATCCAACAATCAGGAAGTTCTCCAGATACATGATTGCTTGAGAGATCAAGAAGGGTTAAATTACTATCCTTGGTTTCACACAAAAAAGAAGCTGCCCCTGAAAAGTTATTATGGGAGAGATCTAGAACTGAAGCTTTTGATAGAATTGAAGGGATTGGACCCTCCAATTGATTCCAACTCAAATTTAGGCCCGCTGTGAACTCCAATCTAATATTTCCAACTGTTCCTCTCATTTGATTGTGAGAGATATCCATAATCTCTAATTTTTGTGACAAATCCCAAAACCAACTTGGAATGGTATCAGAAATTCCAGCATCAGAAATATCAAGCCATATATAATTTTTTTGAGTTTGAAGCCATTTTGGGAAAGACGACGGCCACATCTTACAAGACATCAATTGTATGCGTTGCAATTGGAAGGGAGGAATCCAATCAAAACTGAAGTTTAAAAGTAGTGAGTTAGATGATAAACTCAAATAACTTAATTTGGAGAGTTTTGAAAAATGAGTTTCTGAAATCACTCCTTCCAAAGAATTCCAACCAAAACCAATAGTCTCCAGCTTGGACATCTGTCCAATACTTTTAGGTATTCTTCCACTTAAGTTATTGTCCTGGAGAAGCAAGTGTTTCAATGATAAGAAGTTCGTAAGATCAGGCAATGAACCCGAAATGTTATTGAAAGAGATATCCAAACTCTCCAATGTCTTTTGAGCGCATTTGGACAACGTTTCAACAAAGTCTGAAAGTTGTCCACTAAGACTATTAACCCCAAGGTCCAACTCTCGCAGCCTACATAACTTGGCAAAGGAATTCGGGATCCCTCCTTCAAGTTGGCTATCATAGAGACTAAGATGTGCAAGAGAGCTCATGTTTCCAAAAGATGCAGGAATTGAGGAACCATTGAAATTGTTATACGAGAGATCAAGATAAACAAGGTTGGTATGAGTACCGGACAACCATTGGAAGATTGAAGAGTTGAGATTGTTGAGGCCGAGATCGACATGAACAAGAGAGTTAGAAGAATTCATGAGAGAAACAGAGGATATAATTGGAGGAGGAAGTTTACAGCGCCATAATATCAAGTTTGTTAGTTTAGGAAGCATATTAACTGCTTCCAGCCAACCAACAATGTCACTGAGATTAGTGTAACTTAGGTCCAAGTGTTTCAGACCTGAAAGATTAGGGAGCCAATTGAGATTTTTTGCATGAATAGAGTTCACAGGGGGTGGTCGTATATCAGAAGATGAAGTAGAGCTGAGATTGAGATATTGCAAGTGTGTAAGGTTTCCAAGTTGGTTTGGAATTTGACCTCCAAAATTTGCATAAGAAAGATCGAGGTATATTAAATTGCTCAGAGATCCAATGAAATCTGGAATTTTGCTCCAACCGAAATTATTGAAACTAAGGTTCAAATACTCCAAATGCTGCAAGTGAACGAGTTTAGGACTAATCTTACCTTGCAAAGATTGGTCTCCAAGATCAAGTTTAACAACATGGCCAGTTTGGTTGCTGCTACAGTAGACTCCTTCCCATTGGCAACAATTTTTGTTTTGGGCTTCTCTTCCCCATGAAAGGAGGCGATCGCCGTCGTCACCCACGAGGCCTTGTTTGAGTGCAAGGAGTGCTTGCCTGTCCCTCTCGCTACATCCAATGCAAGGACTGCTCATGTGTAGTAAAACCACCACCACAATTGCATAGAGGAGTTTGAAGCAGCACCTTGCTTCAACCATGTTAGCTACAGTCATGATCAAGACGAACAAAGTAAAGCACAACCAAAGTAAGCATACATGCAAAACTGGTGAAGTATATATATATATATGCTTGTATGATATCTCAAGATTGACGAAACATGGTGGACTTGACTCTTTATCCTAAAACAGAATTTTAAAAAATAATTCAAATAATTAATTAAATAATTAACTCGGAATTAATTTAATTAATTGGAGAGCCCCAAGGCCCAAGACTCATCTATTGACTAGTTAAATATATATTATTTATATATATTAATTAACAATTGACCCAACTAATTAAGCTTTGACGCAAAGGCCAAACCCAACAAGCCCCAATCCTAACTATTCTATCACCAAGAGTAGGCCTTATAAAGACCTTCAAGGAACTATAGTTTTCCAATGTGGGACTAATTTCATTCAAACATGTTTGCAATACCTTGCAAAAACCAACAAAGATTAATGAAACATGGTTGACTTGACTCTTTATCCTAAAACAGAAATTTGACAAAACTGCTTTCCCACTTAATGCAATCAATAAAGCCCCGTTATCCTAAAACAGAATTCTGAATTTTTTTTTTTTCAATGATCAATTTGGCTAAAATTTTTTTCATTGACCAAATTAAAATTTCGTGTAAACTACTTTCCACCTAGTAAACTACTACATTTCCTAATTCACCGAGGCATAGAAATCAGTAAAGCCCCTTTGTTTAGCCTAAAAAGGAATTGTGCCAAAACCACGTTTTTCAGAAGTGAAAGTGTGAACTCTTGAATTAGAGATGAAAGTTGCTTTGAGAGAGAGGAGTATCTTGCCCTAGATTATCACATTTAGTGCATCTATGATTAATCACAATACGCAGAGACTGGCAAGGTCTCTGCTACCACAAAAATTAAGCTGACTGCTACCACAGAAATTAAGCTGATTGCTGCAGTCAAAAGAGTCCAGTCTGTCGGGCGATGTGGCATTAAATGATGGTTGAAATTGAAGACAATTTTGGTCTTATTTGCTCTTGGAAAAATAGGCATATGAAGGAAAAAAGAGCATTGTTTTTTCACATTGAGCCAACTGTCTATTAACGGGCAGCAAGCGATTGATGTGAAAGACGAGCATGCAAGAGATGAAACACGGGTTGCATTGAGAGATAAACCAAGAGCAAATAAAAAAAGACGAGCATGCAAGAGATGAAACACGGGTGGCAATGCAAGAGATAATAAATAAAAAAAGTTCTTGTTTTTATGTTGATTTAACTCAAGTGTATTTTGTACTATTATTATTCTCATAGTGAATTCTGTCTAAATACGTATATATACATGTCAAACCTCGTAAATCTCTCGTGCACTAGTATTTTTACTCGTTTATTTTATTTTGTTTAATTGTGATTTGCGTTGTGGTGTAGTTATTTATGAATCTTAATTTAACACAGTTAAAAGCACAACATGAATAATGATATATCTTACAGTTAAAAGCACAACAGGAATAATGATATATCTTACAATTACAATTGTAAGGAATTGATTCTGTTTACAATTTACTTTCCACCTAATTAACTATTTTTTTCTGGTTCATGGACGTATTGAAATTGCTTGAGGCCCTACCCTAAAAAATAATTTTCCAAAAACACATTTGAAGTGATCTTTTTGACTGAAAAATCTGTGAATTTCGGGTGTCCCTTTGTTAAAGATGAGCGGAAAAATCAGCTCCCATCATAAAAGCTTTAATGTTATTTGGATAGGTGCTTATAGCATAAATATGGGCCTTGAGTTTGGTTGGCTTGTGATTGAGTCTGACTTTGTCTATTTGTTCTCCTTATGCCAAGGGTGATTCTATGGACACCCAAGAACTGTTTCTGTGAGTTGACCAACCAATCATTTTCTAAGGACGCCCAGGAAGTGGAGTGGCGGCCAGGAAATTCCAAAAGGAAGTGGAGACGCTGAATTGCTGTTTACTGTATTGCCGTTATGAATAAAACAACGAAATTTGAGTTAAGTAGTTCAATCCCAGAGATGAAGGGTTGTCGGTCTGGGAAAGGCACTTTAACATTATGTTTCGTCTGTGTAAGAAAGAATATACTTGTCTTAAAACAGAAGAAAAGAGAAATTGATGACACATTGGGCTTGCTCAAGTTTGCTGTATTCTACATTGGGCTATAAACTATCCCAGTCTCATAAACACAAGCAAATAGCAATAGAAATGAAGAAGGAAAAAAACAGAGCAAAAACAGGGGAGAGGATATTGCTCTCGACACTAGCTTTTCTATTTATACAAAAGACATGTACATATTAATAACAACACTAGGACATTAATTTCAACAACTTGCGTACTAATTCATCAAAAGTCATGAAATGTAAAAAAGGAAAAACAAATTATGCTTCTTCATAATCAAGTTTCAATGATGGAGCCAATTGCAAGAGACAGTGCTTATTAAGTAGGAAGTAAATTTTTATGGATTGGCTATGAGATGTGCTTATGACCGTGTACGTTGAAAATTGCAGAAGTTAAGCTTCATAAGGAATTATGCAAACAGACAGGGCCGTCCTTAAGATTTTGAGGGCCATTTGCGAAACTTAAATTGGGGCCTCACATAATCTAATACGAAAATACTATAAATTAAAATTTGCCATAACTTAATGTCCTAAACAATTTTTTTATAACTAAAAGTCACCATCAATAAACATGTAATGACAATCAGAAATCAAATTCATAAAAATTTAAATGTTTTCATTTGATAAAGTTAAATATATTGTCATCCCAAAATAAAAGATAGAAGAAACTCAATGAAGTCATCGCAAACATAATAACCACAAACCCAACTTATTACTGAAGCCTGGAAAAAAATCCATTCTAATCCAAATTACTAAAGCCTGGAGGCTGCATGAAGCTGTTTGAAAGCTGCTTCCGCAGCCTTCTGCTCTTTTTCTTGTTTTTGCTTGTTCTTTTGGAACCTGAACCCACAACGATTGCGAAGAGTCTGCAAAAATAAAAACATCCAATTATGTATACATGTATACCTATTCAATTACTTTACATACAACTTTTTTAGTAAGTGGAGACTTTTCAGTGCATGAAAATGAACGAGGAGTGGTTACCAAATTTGGTCCTCCCTCCCTATCTACTTAGTCTACGTAACTTGATATTTCTGAGCTGCCAATTTGGACGCCATACATACATATGTGAAGCGTCATTGCTTATTTCATGTGACCGTGCTGTTTCCATTATTGTCTTCTGCTTCAAATTTCTCCTCGACTGAAGTAGACAAGTAATGGACTTAATTGTTTCACTCGAAACTCTAAAACACGCTGCAAAGAAAAGTAGATTCACAAGTCACAAGGAGAATCTAGCCACAGGTGACCAAAGCAGAGCCACATATTCACCAAACAGGACCACAGCAATGATCTGCACTTGTGCTAGTGATTGAATGCATCTTGGAATTATTAATTTGGAACGCATAAAATTGATTGACGTACTTATAGTCTTCTCATGAAGTTGGGTAAAAGCAAGAATTCCTAGCTAGCTATTCTTGGTTTCTTATTGTTGGTTCTAAATGTTGTGTTTACGATTTTCGTTCCAATCTTTCATACGGTGCAAGTCTTCAACCCACAAAGAGCCATGCCCGTGCTTAAAACTCCAAAGGACATACTGCAGGGAGATAGTTGCACAAAAATGAAGCTAAAGAGTGTCCAAATAAGAACATCGGATTTTCCTTGTTTCCATGACAAGACTTGTGGAAATAGATGGGTGAGAAAAGACTTATGGAAATAATGAAAATTCTACGGTGGACCTGGTACACTATAGACGTTGCCATGGAAATAAATGGATGATAAAACTTGTGGAAAAAATGGATGAGAGAAGACTTGTGGAAATAAATGGATGAGAAGGCTTGTGGAAATTTGGTATTGGAAGACTGAATGCGTCGCTCACAACCTGTAAAATTGTTTTTTGTTTTTTTTTTTATAATCAAAAACACTTTTTCAAAAGTGAAACACTGAATTTGGGATGAATGTGCAACTGTCAAAAGATGAAGCTCTTGTCTGTACCCAAAAATGTGCAAAAGATGAAATTCTTCTCACTTTTATAAGAAGAATTTTGAGTGGTTGGTGTATTGCCTAGTTTTAGCCAATGGATTTCACTCAAAACTCACCAAAGGACTCCTCCCACCCTATTATGACGTTGGCCAAGTTTTGGGCTCAATCCGAAATCAATAAGTCTAAGAAATTGGACAGTTCAAGTTCGTACCAAGTTCATTCCGTAAATGGAGTGGTTGGTGTATAACCTAGTTTTAGAGATTGGATTTCACTCAAAACTCACCAATGGAGTGTTGATTTACCATTCTTGATTAAAAAGTATAACCTATGAACCTATTTATAACACTTGCACCGCTAGACATCCCCAAGGGTTTGCACTCGACGTGAATGGCTGTGAGAGGTAAAGTTTGAGTCTTCTGTCATGTGCTAACTTTGGATTGTTGTTCTCTAAATTTATCCCCGAGTTTTAAATATTTGTTAATTATATTTTTACTTAATTGTTTTGAAAAATCAAATTGGGAGTGATTGTGATTGTATATATAGAGACATATAAATTGGGAGGTCGTGCATGCATGACTTTGAATAGTACTAGTCGTTGGTGGTGGTGACCACTGACCCGTCAAAGACTTCCAGCTGACTTGCAAATTGCATATGCTTGCAGCTGCAGATGTTATATTCATTGGTGGTCACTGTCATGTGGATTATTCAAAGGGAATCAACAATCAGGTTGATGTGACTTTGTTTAATATATACATACAATTCTACATAGGGTAATGCTAGGCTTACCACATTTTTCATACCACATTTGTACCATATCTCTAGTAGAGGTGCCCACCGTTTTCATGCCTCCTATTTTTCCCCTAAAAAGTAATTGTGCCAAAACCACCGTTTTTCAGAAGTAAATTACCATTCGAGTGTGAACTCTGAATTTGAGATGAAAATTACTTTAAGAGATGATGATGTTGCCTCTTTTATGTTAA